TCATTTGGGTAAGGAAGATTTGATGTATGTTGTGGTTGAATTTTATCTTTGTTTTAAGTTTTATTCCCCCTTGAGTTTCTTTTTGGGTATGGTCATGTACATTGTCTGGTAATGACTTTGAAACGAAGCAAAAGAGAATTAAAATCATTTAGAGTAAATAGAAATGTTATTATAATTATTATTTCTTGTTTGAGTGTGAAATAGTACGACGTCAGGAAATACTATGGACTGATATTGAGCATGGGTTTTCCTCTTGAAGAAAGCGTTTAGAAAAGTATAAGTCATAGCCTGCATAGCTGGTGGGATTAGCAGGCGAGTGCTGTAGTGTTTTGGCAGCGAAGCCACGTGAAGGTTGGGAGCAAGTCAAATTGATTTTCCCTCGCGGTCTCACTGCTCTCGCTTAGCGTGGCGACTCTGCCGCCCACCCACGCACAACAATTTCACCAGCTACGTAGGCTATATAAGTTATATTTTACTATATAGTATAAGCCATCCAGCTGCACACTTTTAAAAGCACATGGACAAAAATAATGTTGGATGTTTTTTGCATTTTCAGACAAAGCTGAATGCAAGAGTACAATTCACTGGTTGTGTGATTATGTATCATACCAAGCCAATAAGAAAGCCACACATCACTCACGTGACTTACACTCTATGATAGTTGCTGCATTCAGCTGCCTGCAAACATGGATAACGTCACACCCATGGTTATTGGATAGTCAGGTCTGTATAATCCTTTTACTCGCAAGGCTAGTGCTCCAAAAGGAAAACACAAGAGAAATTCCAATTTAATTTGGTAAAATTGTGCTAAATAAATGGTTCCATGTCAAAGCACTTTTGAACGGGTTCGGATAGAAGGTTACATGTAGAATCACCATGTAAAACATGATGAACAGCACCACTGAAAAGTAGTGTACATTTGCTTTCATTTCAATGGTCACGTTATGAAAATTTCATTCTCAGAAGCAAGCGTTAGAACCGTCGTTTACAGTGCAGTAAACAGCACCACAGAAAAGAACGCTCAGTAGATTTCTTTGATCGCCCTTAAAGATTTTATCCACAGAATCAAAATAGTGAATAGGGGCACAGTACAAAGTACTACTCAGTACCTTTCTTTTGAATAGCTGCACTTCGTTGTTTCGTAAGTTCTGAATTAACCCATAAGAAAGCGTATAGAGAAGTAAAAACGCTTGGTGATATCAATTTAATGCGTTGGAAAAAAATTACATACACAGCTATGGAGGCTTAGGGTCATAAAATAGCAGCATCTTAAATGATTTGTTTTTGAACTTTGCAGGGCTGTTTACAAGTTGTCATGGAAGTGGTTGAGCTGGGAATATCAGGAAGCAAGTCCAGAGAAATTCCAAGAGTAAGTAACACAACAAACCAGTGTGGTTTCACTTGCACGTTGAATTTTTGAGATAAAAAGTCGAGACGGCGCAGGGGTGACAGCACTGGCCTCCCTCCATTTGACACAGAATTCTTGAGTCACAGACGATGCCAACGTAAGTCGATCACAGCTTTCATCAGTTTTGACACAACAATCCTATAAATTTCAGTACCAAAGTTTCTGTAGTGGCCATTGTTTTTCTTTCATAGCCTTCAATTTCCCTTTCAAATTGATAATTTTCTAAAAATTAAGACTGTTCTTACCAACATTCTCTTGCTTCTATCTCAAGGATCATCAGCAAGGAACAGAATTTATTCCTCGGTTAAAAGGTGGGTAAATACCAAGGTTCCACTTCTACTTCTAGCAGTGTCAGCTCAATTTTGCGCATGTTCCCGTATTGATATAAGCAAAGGCCATAAGATTAACCACGTTTAGGCTTTGCGAAGGCTGGTCAAACTTCTGTTCTTCTTCTGGTCAATCTTCCTTTCCTATTTTCAATGGTATTTGCCTTGCGAAACACTGAGGCTCAAGGGAACAAAATTAAGTCGTTTTAAAATCATCATGTGATAATTATGTTATAATTGTAGAACAAAAGGAGAAATCTCTACACTGTACGAATTGAAAGTAAATCTCGCCGAGCGGTCAACATGCGGGAAACAGTGCGCTGATAAAATCATAACTTCCACTGACGTCAAAGAATGGAGTGTTGTCCGCTCAGATGCTTTTAGCGGGAAACATTTGTAGGTATCATAGGATCTCGAATAAGTAATTAGAACGCGTCCTGTGTGGGAAAAACGTTCAGCTTTATATTTCAGTAATGGTTGTACTCCGCCTTGCAGGTGACAAAGAACTGAAACCTGTATCGTTCAGAGTGAGAGAAGCAGCTGAAGGCCTCTTGACTGTCATAATGGAACACTTGGTATGTCATCCGGGTATTAATGGTGTTCACAGTCGAAAGGATGGTGACTGTTAAAAATTTCCATATGAGCACAGGTTACCCATGTTGGAAGCATGTTGAACCTAGGGAAGGCCAATGCCAGTTCATTACACAGTTACCCCAGTATTCACTAGTACGGAGGCGCTGTGAAGACTCAAACCCAGACCTTCAGATTTGAAGTGAAGCTCGCTGCCTCTCCTACATTCCTCGATAAGGAGATAGTGTGAACTCTTTTAGATAAATTAGTGGGAGAAATACTATTGTGCTTTGACCAATCAGTTTGTTGAGAAACAGGTCAGACTCTTCTTTTAATTCAACAGGGAGCTTTCCCTTCACCTTGTGGTCCATCCTCGTTATCATCTCTCCTAGACGAAGACTGGGTTTTGGATCACGTGCAGCCAGCCGATGGCTCAACAAAGGTCAGGACAAGACTAGCCCTTAAATAGTTGAGATAACGTACAGTATTCTAACCTGAGATCAGGCGTTTTTTTTTTTTTGCTTCTTTGCTTCTTTGCGCTCGAGAGGGAAAAAAAATAACGCCTGATACATTTATTTAAGAAGCAGTCAACTGCCCCCTAATTTACATAATCTAACGTCTGCTTGACCTGTCATGTTATTAGCCAATAAGCGTTTACCATACGGGAATCAAATTTTGGCGCGAATAATGTCTCTTCTGAAATCAATGTTAGGGAAAAGAAAATATTTAAATACGTCCATGTTCAGATAGCGCTTCCTAAAAAAAAATTTTAATGTGTTGTTTTTGTGATGAAATACTGCTAGCTGGAGCTGCCGTACCTTTATTTAACAGCTACAAATAATAAAGAATTTACTGGTTAAAGCTCGTTGACTTCGTTCTGTGCTGAAGCAGTGAAAAAAAAATTAGGCTGAAGCACCATATTTCACGAAATGAAAGGTGTTGTGAAAACGAAGATCGCTCAGAATAATTCGCAGCATGATTTCTGAAGGAGGAATTACAGTCAAACCAGGTCAAGATTCCATTCATGAATTGATTATTTCAAAAGTGAACCTGTTTGTAGCTTCTGTAACTTGTAGCCGGTATCAAATTGCATTCAAACTATTCAAATGATCGGTGAAGTTTTGACTGCGACTGTTTTAGTATACGATGAGATGGAAAATATTTCAATGGATGAAACTTCTATTTAGGCATTCTTCAAATTCAAGAAAACTGAGCCGGCAGAAATTTCATAACGAACTCGCGTGTGTATTCACTGCTCATTACGCAAGAAAAAATGTAGACTGAAATCAACAACAACTAACGGATGGCGGCATTTTGGCCAATTGAAACAGCGCAAATCATCCGTATTGTTTCCTATCCAATCAGAAAAAAGTCCAGATTCTGGCTTTTTTACATGTGATCCGACAAAGAAATGTATCATGCCCTCTTCCCGTGAGAGACATAAAGGGATAATAGGGAAAGGGCATGATCTCAGGCTAACAGTATGCTGTCACGAAAAACCAAAAAAGCAAAACTCTCATTATACAGCAACCATCTATAACCTGCATCTTACTTGCGAGCGCAGCGTCCGCACCAAATTTAATGTGAGTCTTGATCACTCTTGCGTCCTTCCATCTTTGTTTGTTTCCTGCGTTTTGCACCACTTCATTTACCCGCGCTTTTCTCCTTTGCACAAATTCCAGTACTTATTAACGTTTGGTGCCAGCGATATGTTTGTCGTCCTTGTAACCAGTTCATTTTTCCCGCGCTTTTATTTCTTTGCACACAGGTATTGAGTACTTAACGTTTTGCGCCGGCAACATGTATTCTTGCCTGTTAAACAACAGTTCTATCCTTTCCCGCGCTTGGCTCCAGTTCATTTTTCCCGCATTTTTCTCCTTGTTTTCCAGCCTGCTTAACAACGCTTCTATTCTCTCTCGCGCTTGGCACCAGGTCTTTTTTCCCGTACTTTTCTCCTTGCTTTCCCGCCTGCCTATCAACGGTTCTGTCTTCTACCGCGCTTAGCACCAGACGAGCACCAGACTCATATTATTTTTGTTACTGTTTATTAGCAAGTTTTTCACATGTTACGTGTTTTATTTTTGATCAGACGCCCCGCAAATTCCAATATTTTGTAATCCAGGATAGTAGTATCATGTTAGGATTGTTAGAAGAATCCCTAAAGCACAAAGGTAAGCTTTCCTTTTGTTCAGCTTGCATGACTCAGAGTTATTCATTGCGGGATACATGATTATTTTAAGCATTTTTCACCATAACTGCAGTCATATAGGGAGACTACATCTTTGCTTTTGGGTTGAATGCCCTGGGGCCCAGTTTACTGAGTTTGTGACAAGCCCCTTAGATATCAGCCACTTTGAAACTACTGCTCTGCTTTACTTTAGAGAGCTTTTAAGAAAATGACATTCATAGTAAAGAATTTTCTTCTTTCATGAAGATTCCCCAGAACTTGATGGCTTAATTTTCGTGCCTGTTTACTGCTACACACAAGACAAATTTGATCTGATAATGAATTACAACTGTACCACAAAACAACGACGTCCGTTTAATATGCTAGCAAGGTTACCGTTTTCCATAAAATAAATGAACCACGGCAAGCATCGCATTCTTTTAAGATAATCAACAAATCCATTGATTTTAAGCGATTTTCACCAATTCTAAACCCTGTGTTGAAACAAAAGAGATTGACCGTGTGACCCGGCCTCTCTATAAGCTTTATTTTACACTAACTTGATAACGTCAATATGTATGTTTTTTTCTGTTAGACCCTTTACCGACCTTGTCAGCAGTTATCCGTGGTCCCACTGGCCGTTATGTATGGACCATGCAGTTAAGACAGTTTTCACGACACAAAAATGTACAGTACTTCATGTTATTTATTCAATTAATCCTTTTATACTGCTTCATGAGAAATTTATGCAATTTGATTGGCTTAGAGCAGTAGTATTTCAGCTTAATTCAGCCGATGTAAACGTTTGACCATTGAAATCAGCCTTGTTTAAGATGATAGTTGAAGAACTGAATTTTTCTATTGTTTTTCTTCTTCTTCTCGTTTTGGATAGCTTTTTAATCCTTTTGATTGTTAAAATCAATCTTTGATTCTTGAGTTTTTGCTTGCTGCAATGACTCTTGACACTTTCATTAATTCATATGCGAAGTGTTACGCACTGCAGCTAGTTGACGACCTTTTTGTTAAGGGGCTGAAAAGTCCTTGCTCTCAAATATCCGTACGGCGAACAATTTTCTTCAGAAATGCTTTAGTATTGTAATATTTTACACAAGAACTAACGTTCTTTCTAGTAAATTTGCTTCTTTCTCCTTAGGACCTGATTGAGGCGCACCTTGAGGACCCAGGGCGCCCTTCACCAGACAAGACCCAACCTCGACCGCCGCCGAACATAAAACACCGGGCCTTCCCTGAAGCAGTGGATACAGTGCCTCTCACGAAAGCGTTAGTGAATTTGTTTTTGTTTTTTTTTTCTTTTGCAACATCCGTCCTATTTCCTCCAATTTTTCCTATAGCTTTGTACGTGCCTTATAGCCAGCGTTGCAGCTGGTTCACCCATCGTCTAAACCATTGGTCCATGCCGGCAGTGTAAAGTGTCTGCAACGCAAGCTAGTGCCTTATCTCAGTTGGAACCCTTTTGCTTAAACAGGGACCCGACGTTATTGTTATCAGGCCGGTATCACATGCACAGTGCGGGTGGATAGAGAAAAAGAAGGTGCGGTTTGGGAAAAAACGGTGGCGTTTCCTATGACCAGCAGCTCTAAATCCTTCTCAAAAAGCGCTGTATGACTTTGTTTTAATGAAAGTTCTCTCCAACTTTGCAGGGCCGCAGAGTAAATTCGAACATACGTTTTTTTCCTTCAGTAAATAACCTACGATCAGGAGTTTTTTCTCGCTTTCCATGAAAGACGTAAAATATATATAGGAAGGGCTTGAACGCAGGCTATTCGGGAAATTTAGATTAAAAAAACAGTGAGTGTTGTTTGTGTGTGTAAGGAGCGGGGAGTAGTCATTTTCTGATGCTTTAAAACACCTCTTTCCCATATTTCCATTTCCATCCGTTGCCAAACGATTTTCGTGCAGTGTTCTTATTTTATACCTTTTTTTTCTTTTTCTAGAGATCGAAGTATACCAGAACTGGATGACATTTTAGATTCTAAACTCAGTGAAGTGCAGGACCATATGCGAGCACTGATGCAAAAACAGGTCTATGATTACTTCCACCTTCCGTGTCTTTTATGTCCGGTCCTCACTAGAGACGCAAGCTCAGGCATAAGTATAAGAGTAAGCATATCGCAAGCCTATACAAGAGCATGAGAAGCTTGTGCGCTAGAGCAAGGACGGCCTTGACCCACGCGCTGGAGTAAGGACGACCTTGACATACGTCAGTATATGCATAAGAAGAACAAAAGGGCTCGATATTCTTGTGTTCATCCATATGCGTATGTCCCTCCCCCGTCCTGACTAGCGTAGAAGCTCCTTATGCTCATGATTATCTGGCTCAGTAGTGTGGACCATGCTATGCTTATGCTTGTGTCACTTGTGAGGACCGGGCTTTATTCATCCTTTACGTCAACCTCGTCCCTAGGGCTAAATGGGAGGGAATAGCCCTGGGGACGAGGTTGCCTTTAGTTTACCAGTCATATCAGAAATGCCCGAAATCTATAAATTTAGATGAAATCTTTAGGAGTCTCTCAGTATTTCCATACCTGTGTACTCCGTTTGCTTATGATAAGTCTCGTTTTTCTCACTATAGTCACTTCGTTGTTTATCCCCACTTTTCTACCGTATACTGCTGAGCATTACTCCCTGCCGCGTTGCGGTCAATAACGAAATGATTGTTGTGAGGGAGTTACAAACGAGCCTTATCTTATACATACCACAGTAAATAATATCTTTCATGATTTGTCTTTTGCTTAATAGTTGGAGCATGAAACAGTGGCGCAGGCAAAATTAAAAGGAGGGAAATCGAAAGTGAAATTTGCTGATGACGATGCAGGAATAAGACCACCCCAGTAAGTAGCAGGGTTGATGAATGACAGCACATGTTATTTGTTAATATTCTTACCGTAAATCCTCTATAAAGGCCCCCTCTCAATTATCCCCCTCTTTAATAAGCACAGCCCCCCTTTTTTCAAGAGAAGAAAGTTATTAAGGTCTTTTAACAACCAAATCAATTAACGATAGAGTCAGCGTAATGTTAAGCTAAATCAAATAAAGCCCCCTTACATCAGCCAATGATCTCTCTTATTATCCCCCCACTCCACGAGTGATTGAAATAAATAAGCCTCTAGCTCGAAAGACTGAATAGATGATTATTTTACGGTATCTGAAGCCGTTATCTCCATCGTCATGCATTGTCCTTCTCTTTGGTAGGCTAAAGAAGCGTTGCTCGACGGGGTTGCCAAGGGAGTTAAGAATATTATCAGGTGTATTTTTGTTACTTTCAACCTGGTCGTTATTTCGATTCAGTTGACTTAATTTTGTACTTCTCTTTGTGTTTTTCAGACCATGTAAGGAGTTTAGTCCATCTCGTCTTTTGCTTTCCCATCTTGGTTTACTGTCCATCGAAGGACTAATGGTAAAGCAATACTGCTACTCTGTTTGCGCTTTTTTAAAGGGATTTTGTCAGACGTACTTGCTGTTTTTGTCAATACTATAATAATGTTTTATAAATTATAATTTATAAATTGTAATATAAACCTACAAAGAAGGAGAAAATTCAGGACGAGGTCATTGAACAACAGAAAGCAAATGTAAATAAGTTTTCAGTTTTCAGTTTTCAGAATTTTGCACTTTCTTATCCCCAGCACGCCTATCCCGCGATTATGGTACCGCTATGGCCCCTCCACTCGCCCCACCCTGGTCAAATTTGTTTAGTGGGGATCAGAAATGATCCAGCCGGACTTTTGTTTTTACTTTTGGTGCAGGGGAGGGGTGGGTAGGGGGAGTATTTGTAGTTACCAGTGCTTTCAAGAGCTTTATCTTGAAACTAGACATGGGAAATTCCATTTTTCTCAACATTTTTGTTCAAGATCGACGTCATGTGCAGTGACTGTACATAACGTTCAATCTTTTGACTGAGTCTCAGTCAAAATTGTTGGGACACTTAACTGTCTTCTTACCCTCCCAATCATCGGGTTTTGTGCAACATTTGGTGAGTTAACTGCGATGAACAACATCGGGTGGACGAGGAGACGGGCCAAAAGTAAAAACAGCACTAGGTGGAAGTGTCCCGACTATTTTTGTCTGAGACTATAGCCTTCTCCCTTGACTTGATGCATTTGTGACATATCTTTCTTTCTTTTGTAGGGTAATCCACTGCGTCCATTCGAGGACGCGAGCCTCCTTGCACTGAATTCCACGTCCAGCGGATTCTCTCAAGCTCTGAAGGAACTTGATCACGTGTCTACGCGAACGCAGGATACAGTTTATGTGTTTTACGTGAAAGCGGAACAAACAGACACACATGAAATCATAGAAAACAAGGCCAGTATAATATCTGTCATAATTACTGGAATGAACGAACCTTATTAGTGATATTCGACGCAAAATGTCCTCATGAATAGCATTCACCGACGATTCTGTCAAATATGAAGTTATATGAAAATAACGAACGACCCAGCCTGTCACTGGCGTTCTAATTAAACAACATTTGTCAGTACTTAAGAGAGACGCGCCAGTTAGAAACAAAATAAGAAAAAATGACGGAGCATCTTAAAGAGTAGGGAATGCCGTTTGCACGAAAAATGTTTGCAAACACTTGACATGGACTAATGTGTTGCACTGTTGTTGTCCTTTATGTTGTATAACTCTATAACAAACACGAGATAATTGTGGCTCTATTACGACCTTGTCTTCCCGTCTTTGTCGGGTCATGGTGAATTGAAGATTATAAAATAACTAAGATAGTACGCGCGTTCTGATTGGTTAAAAACCTATGGTTCATTGTGCCGGTAAACTCATAGAAATCTGAAACATGTTTTAAAGTTATTCTATAAAAGCATTAGACCACACTTTCTATGGGTTTCCCGGCGTGATGACCCACTTAGGATGTTGGGAGAACATTCGAAAAGCTTGTAAGTCACTCGCCTTCGGCTCGTGATTTATAAGCTTTTCTCGTGTTCTCCCAACATCCCGCGTGGGTTATCACGCCGGTAAACCCATAGAAAGTGTGGTCTATTGCTTAATTAAACTTAAAGTACATTATGTATAAAATAGATTCTCATATAATTTTTCAATCATTTCCTTGTATTCCCAACAGATTGGTTCGGGTAAGCACTCCAAGGCATTCCGTGAGTTTCTACTCTCCTTAGGATGGCTGGTCGATATAGACTCGCACTCGGGCTGGTCAGGGAACATTACGCAGTGTTGGAGCAGAGGCAGTAGTGTATCTACCTTGCGCCCTGCGGAGTCCAGCTATTTACAGTCCTCTCATAGCGTGTCAACTCTCACGGGCAGCGAAGAACAGGAGGTGTCTGGGAGCGACAGCGATCGATATGCGTCTTGTCGCGAGAGTTTCGATAGTGACGCATCGCCGAGCAGCGGGAAGGATTCTCCAGCCATGAATTCTTCTCCTTCTCATCCTCCCATTGAAACCAAGCTGGTTGATGAGATTCTTTACTACGCAGATGTAAGCTGTGAAGTTGCGTTTATCATGCCGTCCCTCCTGCCGCGGTATCAGAAGTTTCGGTGCATAGCAGAACAGCTGGAGAGCTTTAAGGAGGAAGTAGAGCCTATGCCGCGAAGAAGGACTCGGTCAGGTAGCACTGGGAGCCTGGAAGGAAGTAGTATTGGGAGCCAGTTGGATATCAAAAGCAAGATATCCCGTCAGGCCTCCGAAGGGATGACTATACACGAGGTATATGAGAGCCAGTGATACTTTACCTTACTTATATTAACTACTTGTCATTGTAGAAAGAAGCAATGGGGAGGAAGTCAATGCGCCATTTGCACGATGGCGACATTTTACTACTACGACCAGAATCCTTTACGTTTTTCCTTTCATATTTAAATTTGGTAATCCCAGCGAGGTTTACAAAACAAAAGCATTTATTTGCACAAGAAAGCAAAACCCTGAAGGATTCGTGTCGTAGTAGTAAAATGACGCCCACGTGCAAATGGCCTATTGTCAGTGTCGTTCCATTACATTATATTAGCGCAAAAAGTAATTTATGTAAATGAAATTCCCTTCCAAAAAGCGGGGCGAAGTTAAGGACTTGCTCTGTCCATAAACTAACAGAAGGTTTTGTAAACAGTTTAGCTGATGCTAGTATTATTTTAAAGTTAAAGTCAATTATCCGCGAAACTAACCCGAAAAAATCCAGCCAATAGCGATAATTCGCATTAACGTAATATGCCAACCACCGGTACTTTTGCTCCTTGGACAAAAACAAAAAAATCGCACTTTATTTGAGTGTGAATGCATTTAGCATAAAACTATTCATTTAGGACACCGCTATGTTTACGTCTCCCAATGGAGACGGGACCGCCATTTAACGTGGCCATCCAAGCCACGTGAAGGTCTGGCCGTCTGCAGGGCAAAGACAGTATCTTTATTGCTCAGTTATTTTATGACCCTGAGAGCTGGTTCGATCCCCGGGATTCGAACCCGTGACCTCCCGCCCTGCAGTCAAGCGTTGTACCGACTGAACTAGTCCTGTCGCGGTGAAAGGGTTATTATCGTTTAAGTCAACGCCAAGACGCTTTCTCTGGTTTCAGAACCGTGCCGCCATGTCGCGTCTTGGTAACGAACTCTCACTAGAGAGTCGACCGCTGTCCAGGTTGAGCACGCACAACACCTCGTCCGAGACAAACGTAGTGGTGACCTGGCTCGAGCGGTTTGAAGATCATGCCCAGTTCCCTGTGGACGAGCTGGTGATGGAATTTGATCTCAGTCAGAATGTGGGACACAGCTTGCGTGAGAAAGACACCGTGGTTATTTTTATACATCACCTGAGAAGTGGGCTATACCGCATCCATATCAGGTCCACAATCAGGTACATCAGTCTTACCTCGTTTTTACTTTTACCTTGTAAGTTTTTCTTAAGGACGACAGCCTTGCAAAATACCGTGATATTATTCATAAAGCCTACATTATTCAGTCATGTTTGTTAACTTTGTGTGTTTTTGCCAGCCCGCCTTAATCTAAAGATAATTGGTCATTTTTTTAGGTCCTCTATTGGTGGGCCCTTGGTGGACGGTATGGTAGTGAGCCGCAGGACACTGGGCACCATGGTACGGCAGACCGCTATCAATATATGCCGTAGGCGCAGACTGGAAATTGACTCGTAAGTGATGTTTCTTTTGAGAGTGTTAAAGCTGCCTTACGGTATCTAAGTTGGAACTTTGTTTGCTGTGTTCTGTAGCTTCTTTGAAACCTTTTAAGGTAAAACTTAAAGGGAGAAAATACTTTTTATTCACACCCACAAAATGGGTGATTCCCACTCCCGCTTGGCTCTAATTGCTTTACTAACAATTTGTTAAGGGAGTGGAAATAATGCCATGGGAGGAAAAATATTGCGGTTGTCGGGCTTCGTCGTCTTGTGCCTCTTATCTTATTACTAGCTAATAATTCGTTACGATACCAGAGAAAATCACGACAACTAGTGCACGGTGAGAGGTTCGGAAACTAAGGACAACCTCGTTCACGTCAAGCTTTCGATTTTTTTTAATCTTTTCATTTTTAGTCATAAAAACTGCTGCTTTGCTTTCCGTTATCCACTCAGATTGCGTCATTTTCTATCCTGCTACTTGGAAGTGCGTTGATAGCGACTAAACACCATTGAAACACTCCTTTTTGTGGTAAATGCATTAAAAACTAAAAGTGAATCACGATCATTTCCCCGCGCATTTCATTTTTCCCGCGCTTAGCAGCGGTTAAACCTTTTTCGCGCACATCGCAATGGGGCATCTTTTGCCACACCAACGCTAATGCGAAACGACCCCTTTTGACCTTTTGTTTTAACGCTTACAGGTATTCCCCGCCTCAAGTTTGTCGTAAACTGAAGATTCAAGATATCGTCAAGAAATATCGTCATGAACGATCTGTTCCTGATTTTTACGTATCGCTCTTTTCCAATGATGCGAAGTAAATTGCAGACATGTTTTCAAAGTTGAAACTTTAAAAATTCTCAATTTTAATTCATAAATACAAAATTAAGCTACATGGAAAGACTTCACTTGTACACTAAGGTACTTGTACAACATATAAAGAGTATCACGTAAAAGGTGCCGATCAATAACTTTCATTAGTTTGAAGTGCATCTCAAATCTCAAATTTTAAACATTACCAAAGTGTTTTAGTTGCAACTTTACTCTAGGAATTAAGGTTTACATGAGTTATACTACTATACAGACTGTTTATTGTCAGTGGAAAGTACGTTGCTTGATTAACAAATACAGATGCCTTGACTGTGTTCTGATCATGAAAAGAAGAACACGAAGACGAAAGAAGTGTACGGGAGAACAAAAGACGAATTCGAGTTTTTCTCTCTACTTCTTGCGTGCTGTAGCTGCCTCTTATGTGCCTTAGTTCAGAAAAAGGTCAAGGCTTTTTCATTTTTTTTTTTGTTATAAGGAATCCTTTAAATTTCCCACGCATTACTTTCTAATTTTCAAACCAAACTATTGGCAGATGGAGTGACAGCTTGAGCTCCGTGTTTTATACCGGCTCCCATAAAGCACGCTTTTTCAACCAACAAGAGTGCGCGTTATATCTGAACTTTATAATAATATTAAATGCGGTGATGACTCCTGTGACACAGCAGAAAAATGGTAAACAGTTTTCAGTCAATATATATGTTTTTTGGGTTTGCACAATTGTATGTTAAACAAGTCGGCTCAGTATTTCAATTATATGCGACCGCCATGTTTCTTCTACTGTCATGTGTATCATTATCGTCATCATCGTCATCTCCACGACAGTCACCAATGATCGCAGGAAGTGATCAGTAAAGGCATCGTGTAAATTGTAAGTGACTAATAATGAGGTAAACAATATTTACTTTTACCATGCTGCTATTTAGCTGGTTTTCTTGCAATCTGCAAGAAGCTCAAACAATTTTGACGCCAAATTTTTTGTTACCTTAATGTTTTATTAATCCTTGGCCAGTTCCTAGCCTGGTTGCTACACAAATTAGTTGACCATTGTTAAAACCATCTTTAACATTTAATGCCCATGCACGCTGCTTAAGTATGGTACTCCGTGAGTATTAATATGGACACACCCATTTAAGCACCCTCTCAGAACTGGGGCACGGTAACCGGGTGTGTGCACACGTTTTCTCTTTAGTTTGTGAGGACAGGTGCACTCCCTCCTACGCTCCCGACAAGGCGAAATTGATCGAGTGTGTACACAGTGACATCGGGTATTCAAGGTGTGAACACATTTGTGCCAGGCGTCAGGCAATAGTGTTTGGACACCAAGTGTGCTCGAAAATGAGGTTGACGACGCTGTCGTTGTTTAACAACAACAACAAAAAACTCCTCTGTTGCATCAAAGATGCAAAAGAAATGATTAAAAGATTGACTTGATTAGTTTTTAAGTTCGAATGATAAACATATGAAACAGATGCTGAGACACCAAGGTAAATTTCAGTGCTTTGTGCTGATTTTGTCTCTAATAGGTCAACTATGCTTTCAAAAACAAGTTATATTAACCGGGACACAAAAGCCCCAGCTCCCTTAAATAACACTTACTTTGAATTGCAACTGCGTATACTAGCTCATTATATATAGTCCTTTCACTCTATTACTATTGTTACTTGTTACTGTTATTTATACCAAATGTTTCTTTCTATTCTCAATATGTATGAAAACAAAATTAAGTAGAATTAATAATGGTAATAGGACTGAGTGAAGTCCAATTCGGTCTTTAATCATACGAGTGATTAATAAAATTTGACGACCGCGAAGCGGGAGTCCGATTTGTTTAATCACGTGTGTGATTACACACCGAATTGGACGTCACGAAGTCCTGTTGCCAATTAATCATAACAGTTACAATTTCCGAGAAAATAAATGCATTCTCTTTTGGTGAAAGAGCATTTGAATACCAAATGTCCAGAAAAATTAGGGAAAATATCACTGGCAGAGACACTGTCTAGTGTTACAAATTCGTCCATTTTGGAAAATTCCCAGTTTGGTAGAGTAAGTGTGGTTGTTGCTATGGTTACTGTGATAACTTCTGTGATTGGTGAATTTAATTGGCTGATGTAACTGTCCGACTGCAAGTGTCTGCTTACAACCCTGCACAATGATTAGTGAAAGATAAAGCTGTTTATGCACCAATAAAATTTGAAGAAATTGTAATGGATATGGGGATGGCAGCGAGGTCTGGAACCGAGTTTACATGATCGCCCCAGTTAAGAAATCTGGCCGAGTGAGACTGAGTACCGTTTTCTTTCAAAACAAATATGGCGGAGAATACAGACATGGAAGGACGACGAGGTTTTGCTCGGTTTGAGTTTTCCCGCATCCAAACATCAAGAAAAGGTTTTCTGATTTTCGAGCAACCAGCCTAGTCTTTATCTCTCATATTTTTTCACCTACAGGGGTATTAAGAACTCTCTTCCTTATCCTAAACACATGCTACGAGCTCACTATATTAATACACGGTCTTGCAACAGTCATATGGGAATGATCATTAAACCAATTTTCTACTTCACGGTTCGTAAGTTTGTTTGTAAACCGGGAGCCACAACAAATATTTATTTATTTCCCAGTCACTTTGCTTCACATATACTGGGTCTGTCAGTACAAGCTATTTTTAATATCAGAAAGCTGGGAGGGTTTACTGAACCTTCAAAACCTTCACTGGAATATCACTGGAGTGATAATCAATAAATTCCCAACAGCAATACTGTATTTAGTAGTTTTATATTAGATAGTGACTTCGGTTTCAAGTATTTCCTTGAAATTGTTTGTACAAAAATTACCCTGTACTTCTGAATTTTACTTGAAATGATTATAATGGTTTAGTGTGGGGACAACGGGCTTATCCAGTTGCTAATAAGAGTGAGTACATCACAGAGGGGTATGAATTGAGAAAATCCCTCAAAGGACTGAGCTACAAGAAACAGAAAAAAGAATTGAATGTTTTGCAAAGTTTATAAAGAGAATCAGAAGGAGCTTGAAAAATGTACAACTTCAATATTGTTTGTGCAAGTTATGAATTTGATTTACAACTAAAACAAACAAGGTAAAATTGATTTTTTATCAACCATCAAAAGAAGTTAGTGTCCCTCAAGCCCAATCCCCTCAACAGTTCTTTCTATGATACCATCTTTGGCTTATTTGGCCTAGATGGGTATGTGCTGCTGATTTAGGGTGGTGACCATTTCACCCTTTAGAGTTTTGAACAGGGTGTCTGTTTGGGCTGTGAAGGTTGATGAAGAGCAATCTATAGTTACATTTTTTGTATCACCATTTTTTCCCCAAGTTTTTTCCATGTTTCTAAGTTTAAAAGCTAACTTAATTCTGTATGCTAAATGAAATGAATCAGAATTATAAAATAAGGTCTCTTGGCTTAAAAAGGGTAGGGAAATAAACAATGTGTCCTACTACCCATACTCTCTTTGAGTGAAAGCCCAGGGAGGTAATCTCACATTTTAATAACCTTTTACCACTTGTTGTAACAGCAAAGTCAGTGAATGTTTATGGTCTCTGAGAAAGGTTTTGGCGGCCTCAACACAAGTTTCTAACTGTTATTGTTAACTACAAATAAATATATTATCTTAATAATATGATTTTGCATTTTTTTTTCCAAGGCATCCTATGGTGTTTTTCATATTCAAGTACAAGGCAATTTTTAAGTTGAGAGGATTTGACTTCATTAACTACATTTATATACAGACACAAACTAACCTGGCAGGTTGATGTCCAAAGATGTAAAAAATTACGCTGTGGCTATATGGCCGGTAACCGGTCAAGGTTTTCAAAACACTAAATGACCGGAAGTCCTATATTCTCAATAAATTTGACAAATCGAAAAAATCCATCTAATCTAAACTATCATATGTCAATTAAGAAAAGTCAAGCGATCCTGAAACACTTTATAGATCTCAAATTTAGCGTTTGGTTTACGCTGTGCTCAGAAAACGAAACCATGCATGTTTCGTGACACTTAGAACTTTTTGCAGCTTCCTCTTTCCTCTTTCCTCTTTCCGCTTTCCTCTTTCGGCTTTCCTCTTTCCTCTTTCCTCTTTCCTCTTTCCTTTTTCCTCTTTCCTTTTTCCTCTTTCCTCTTTCCTCTTTCCTCTATCCCCTTTAACTACTCTGCTAGCAGGACTCTAGCAGGGTAGACTGCCAGTCATTTATAGTGTTTTGACAATCTTGACCGGCAGGTCGACCTGAAAAAAGTTCTAAGTGTCACAAAACATTGTTTCGTTTTTTGAGCACAGCGTAAACCAAACGCTAAACTTGAGGTCTATAAAGTGTTTCAGGATCGCTTGACTTTTCTTAATCGACATATGATAGTTTAGATTAGATGGAATTTTTCGATTTATCAAATTTATCGAGAATATAGGACTGCCGGTCATTTAGTGTTTTAAACCCCTTGACCGGCAGTTGACCTGAAAAAAGTTCCAAGTGTCACAAAACATGGTTTCGTTTTCTGAGCCCAGCGTAAAGCAAACGCTAGACTTGAGATCTATAAAGCATTTCAGGATCGCTTGACTTTTCTTAATCGACATATGATAGTTTAGATAGGTTGGAATTCTTAGCCGATAAGTCAAATTTATTGAAAATACCGGACTGCCGGTCATTTAGTGTTTTGAAAACCTTGACCGGTTACCGGCAATATAGCCACAGCGAAAAAATTACATACAACTGTATGACAAAAACTGATCACAGTGACCAAAGGAATGGCAAAAATAGAAATGTCACCATTTTCCTGACTTTATAAATTCCCTTTGAAGCATATTTAGCCAGATGTGGTCCTTGTCAAAACATGCAAACTTGAACATTTATTTTCTGAACCTAGCTAATTTCATCTTTTTTAAAACCATAATCTCGTTCCAAGGGGTTAAGTGTAGTTTTTGGAATTTATAATTTTTCCCTCCTTGTTTGCAACAAAACACACTTGAATGAGGACTCAAACTGAAGGCAGTGTAATAACTGCTGTCATGAAAAGAGAATTCCAAACAAAAAATAATTTATACCCTTTCATTTGCGTAAGATTCATTTGTTAGAAACTACGGTAAAGTTTAAATTAAATCATAAGAAGAACGAAATTAACTTAAATATATCAACATGTGCAAAATCAAGAGAGAATGATCTCTTGGCAAAATTTATTTAGCTTCTAGTACATAAAGAAATACATGAAGTACCAGATTTGACCATGCCACTCAATCATCCAACGCAACTCTGCCAGGATAAGTTCACAAAGGATGTAAAATTAAGAATCTCAATCATCATTTCCTCTCGTCTTAAAGGTGTAGTAAAACCGTAAACAACTCTGACAACTCTTCTACTCAACCACAGCCACCGCACTTGTTTTAATATCGCGAAGAATTGATTTTGGGCCTTTCACTTGAAACTACTTGAAAATTAATATAAACTCTACTACATACGCACTTCTTTTAGTCTTGGTCTTCTAAACAGAAACACACTGTCAAAAGGTCGGACATCGAGGAACACTGGGTTCACTTTGACAAACGCAAGACCAGAGAGGAAAACGTAAGCTCCACATTCCCGCGAAAAAAATTAGTTATAGCAAAGAAAGCGTTGACCAACAGGTGGACCAAAAGCGAATTCACTTCACTCTTTGAAATCGCTGCGAAGACGAACTTGCTGCTGTTATTCCCAACCCGTTACGCACATGCTCGCTACAGTTCTCGGATGATTGACAGATTTCTTAACTGGGGCGATCATGGAAAGCCGAAAAGCGGCAAGATCAAAGGCCGTTGCCAGCCCCCCTGGATATGATTAAGGACAGTACAGTCCACAGCTGTAATATGACCTTTTAAGTATCTAACTGAAATAAGACCAGCGACAATACGTTAGCCTGTACTTTAGCGGGGCGGGTAATGCCGCAGCGAATTTGTGCATCACCTCGCATTCACTCTCTTAGGCGACTATAGAGTCTGTCAGTAGCCATGTTCACACACCCAATTGCCCAATGCGGTAAGTGGCTTGCTTATTCAGCTATAGCAGACGCACCTCAAATAGTGGACCTGAAGAGGGTTGGATGCGCGAGAGGTTTTTAATTGGGACGGAGGAAGGCTGGGACCGAAGGGGAAAATAAGAAGGGGAGTAGTTGATTCGGGCAGACTACGGCTTATCTGCGAGACTTATTCCGTTTTCTGAAGTCTCGGAACGCTCGACAAATTGTCACGTATTTCAACCGTCGTATGAGAAACGTTACTGTACCTTAACCTTTTAGAGTAGTAACGAGGGACTGTTCGTGAGACGGACCTTTGTAATTCCTGCATTACTGAAATGAGGTCCAGTGTATCTAAGCGCTTACTCAGAAGCTGCAGCAATGTGGTTAACACTCCTTCCCCAGACAAATACACTTCAAGAGTTTCGCTTGAAATGTTTCCTTCTTTCTTCATACGTGGCATGTTATTTGCTATCACTACCTTCGTGTCTGGAATAAGTGCCAGTTTTTCACTCAAGCATCTCTTTATGCTGATGATCATCTCTTGTCGAACTGCACCATCCGTTCGGTCCAATCTCAGGCTATTCTGAATAAGGACGAAAAAAAGGGTCGACGCCTTTCCTACAAAAACAAAAAAACCTTTTTTTCACCTTTTATAACAGCCATAAATAAAGTTAGGCCGCGCTAAGAATTCTAATCAGTTTTGGATATTATTTCTTGCCAATTTTAGGCTTTTTGAAAGAGGAAGAAGGTTAAGAGGAGCTATAAATTGACTTTTTACTTGAGTTAATTCTAGGAATCACAGTGTCGCAGGGTGCACAAGAGTGTACCAGGGTGCCGAAGCTTCAGCTTTGACTTATCAGAGAGATTCAATTTGAGAATTTCCCAGAACAGAAAATAAGCAGATAAAAACAGTCCCGAACGATTGCTATGGTTAAGACTGGCATAAAACTACTTATTTTTTGTGCAGAAGTAATAAAAAGTGAACGGAAAATAAGGGGGAAACTTGGTCTCGTGGTACAAATTCCCGTCTGCTGTCTGGCGTAATAGAGACCTTTAGCATCACGTTTTTCATGGGAAATCGCAAACCGCAAAATGTCACGTGACCACGGCCTTACGGTCACGTTTGAACCGCAAGAAGGGCTTCCAGCTGTAAGTGATTTACGGCAAGGTTTTTTGCCACAAAAAATTGTACAGTCTCGCGTTTAAAGGTATGAACTTTTTATATCCGTTTGCGATGTGTTTGTTGGATTTTTGATCGCGAATCGTTGAATTATTGCTGATTCTGGGCGATTAAAGTGATGCACTTCGACTTGATGAAAACAACATGGCGGCCCTAAACAATGAACGCGTAGTTCAAATCAATTTTATATTCCTTTCCGCCATACTAACAAAGGAAAGTATTCTGTTCCAATCCAGAGTTAATTTTTTTTCTATCTTGTTACTGAATTCATAACTTAACTCAGTCTCTCTTTAGTTCCTATTTTTAACGTATCACTCCGCGAATTTCATTTTATTTTGCTTGTTTCTTTGAGACTGGTGAGCCCAGGCTTCATAAAGCCTTCTGGTTTCTACTGTGCTCCCTTGCAACATTACAATTCCTATATGTATTCTTGTATTGTATTATATTTTGGCTAAATAAAAATGAACTGAACTGAACGCCTTGCTAAAGTGTGAAATCTCGGAAACGCGAAACTGCAAACGCGTAACTGCGGTTTGCGGTTTACCTGATGCTAAAGGTCTCTACTCTCTCTATAGTAATTGTTATAACTTCTGTTCAACTAATATCGAACAGGGTGTGGATGCATGCTTAAACAGGACTCAAAACAGTTTGGAACGTTGCTGGACGGTTGTTATAAGGGGTATGATATCGAACCTTTATCATTTGGGTGTAGTTCTATCCATTTGTCGATGACGCTTAAAACAGCCGTTTCAAATTTCTCAGTTTCTTTTTTCAGTTCTTCCTCCTTCTCCTCTATCTGCTTCTCGATCAATGGCTTCCTTTCGGTTTCCCATTGTTCTCTTTTTCCCTTCAGCTCTTTCAGTTCATTTCTCATCGCAGGCTCCTCTTTGGAAAACAAAGTTAATAGTTGCTCATCCTTCTCGGTGTTAAAACGTCCCATCTGTTGGAGCCGCCTGCTTATGTCAACTTCTTGTCGCAAGTACAAGTCATCCGGAAAACCAGATAATGGTCTAAACTCTTCTCTTACTTTTAATTTGATCCAGCTGTCTGGGATCTTGTTTTCCAGAAGGTTTTTCAAGTGTGCTTCCCTTATCTGTACCCTGCTGTCATCTTGTCTTTCTTCGCTCTTGCGTCTCGCTAGGTCATCAAGATCTGCTAACAATTCCTTAAAAGAATCAGTCTTTAATGTGGTTACCTCGTTCCGTGAATTCTGTGCTTTAAAAAATGATCCCGCTTTTTCTACATCATTGTCTGCGGAGGTTTCACAGGCTTCACAGACATCGACTATTAAAACCTTTGCTTTACTGTAGACCTTTGTTGGGCGGTTACTGGGACTCGATAACTTTTCAATTTCTTTTAGCGGAAGAGCAGGACGAAGTGTCCGTGGTTTTGTTGCTTTTTCTAAGAGTTCTGCAAGGTCATACAGTTTTAGCGCCTCAAAAACTTCCTTTAGCAGCTTGACTGGGGTATCGGGAAAAATTTTTCCAATGTTCCTCCGGTCGAGTTCGTCGTGCAGTAAATCAGGATCAAGCCCAAATGAACGGTAAAATCGGTTTAGAACATCTTTGTTCCTATTAAGCTTGAACGTTAGTTCCTCAGTCAATTCCATACTTAGATCTTTCAAGCACAGCTTAGAGGTGGAATCTGCAAATACAAGGCAGAAACAAAATCTGAAATTAACAAATGTTGACTTAAAATAAATAGCATATTAAATTGCTATCGCTTGAAACGGAACGGACAATGAAATTAGTATGAATTAATTTCAGGAGTTTGAATCCAGGGGACTGTGAGAAAAAATTGAAGGGACAAATAAAGTGCATATATTTCCTTTTCTAAACAGCAACTTGAAGGGTAAGGCATAATCCGGGTTTTTATCGTGTCATCCAGCCGATTTTTTGCACGCTATTTAAATGAGCTCTGTTTTTTCTCTGCGCCTGCGCCTTTGCCTGCTTGAATAAACCATGAACTGACCCCGATCTAACATCCCTGGGCAGACCCTTAATGAGAAATGTCCATCGCCCTGGGAACGAACAAGTTGACAAATGCTCAGGGGGTGTGGGTTGGGTACTCTTGGAATTGACTGCGTCTTACCGCTGGTTTCTTCAAATCCAATTTCCGATGGTACACTATTTGATCCCGGCTTTCCACTGTCATCCTCTGTAGATACACTGTGTACATCTGTATCCTTGGTTTGCTCTAAGTAACTCCTAATGTAGGATAATTTTTCCTGATCTAGATATTGAAGTTGCCTCTCTTCCTGACCATCAAGTTCGTCTGAACTCAAAACTGTGGCATCAAAAATTCAGATGTCAATGACACTGATCGCAAAATTAAAGCTCTAATAATTATCATGCAAGTGAGAATGTAAATGAAAAGTTTTAGGGCTTAGGGTTCGCTTTAAAGGTTAGGATGATTTAGCTTTAAGCAGAGACTTATGGGGTCCTTTCCAAAGTAGAGTCCCTTTTTTCCGTTAGCGCTGAGTTCAATCTTTGTTAGGTGAATCACCGCCATATTGGGTTGCCAAATTGCCGAGCTCGGAGGACTTTTCTAGTGATTCACGTGGTACAAAACTGCTATACTGTTGAGCAAGCTAAGAGACGCACCGAGAGTGGCCAAACAAAAGAAATTACCATTTTAAATGATGAGAGAACTTAACTTTTTCTGTTCCAGTGCGTCCCATGCTCCCAAGAATCCGCGGTTTTGAAGGGCCTACCGTATTTGTTCGATTAAACGCCGCGGCCTTTATTAAATTTTCAGCGTGTCCGATGCGGCGTTTATATAAGGGCGGTGTTTGTTTCGAAATCCCTTTTCTTAAATCACTGACAACAGTTACTGTAAATCGTTTTTTTAGATCTTATGTACTTTAAAGGTTCCATGCAGTGTCTCTCTTATTTTGCTGAGATAGAATCGTAATTGTCTGGATGGTGTAGATTACCAAGTTGTACCGAGTTTTTTCTCATTATCCTCGAATAAACGCCGCATTCTTTTAATTAGGTGCGGCGTTTATTAGAGGGCGGTGTTTATTGATAATTTTGCTTCCATCTGCGGAGTTTATCGAGGGCGATGTTTAATCGAATAAATACTGTATTTAGCAGAAGTTTTGAATAACTTGTGCTACAAGGTAGCAGTGAAATCAAATTGAAATACGTAACTATGTTGCCTGTATGAATTTTTTAGTGTGCTTTTATGACCTTGTTCTCCGAAAGTTGACAGCTCGTTCCGAGCTTTCTCGTACTCTTCTTCGTCGATGGTCACATCCACTTCCACTTGCCCTCCACCCGCAAGTTCTCGCACTTCGTCAGTAACGAATAAAGCTTGCAGACTTGCTCTTAGTGTACCAACTTTGTACAAACGCCATAAATCCTCGAGAACTGAAATGTTCTTTACTTGAACTTTGAGACACACGCATCCCTCTGAAATTTGAATCAGATTGGCCCCAACAGGAAGCACACAGGTGTTAATGGCGTTCACGAGCTGATCATAAGTGCAGTCACGTGTCAACAGTTCTAAGCTGGAAGCAACAGTAAAGGTTCCTGAGACCACTTTGAACACAGTCTTAACGTTCAGGACTAAAATACAAACAAAAGAATTATTATTAGAGAAAAGGCCATCACGACTGAGGTTAGACATCATGTGAAAGAGAAAGAGAAGAGGTAAAATGGAAAAGAAAAGGCAGAAGGCGTTTGAGTTCTTGCGCGCTTGATGTCCCTCTTTTTCCTTTTCTGCCAGTAAGCGCCTGCCTCGCGGACTTCATAAGGTGATCTCTCGCAGTTATTAGAATATCGAACAATCCCCGCCAATTTCTGGGGCGTATGTGACGTTTCTGACAGAATGTCTGCTTATAGTTTGAGCTCAGTAATACGTGTAATATTCATGAAAAGAAGGGATTCTCACTGACCAAGAGAGCTCCAGTTTTCTAGAAGAAAATGGTGGTCTAATAAAATTCTTTTTTCTTTCCTTTCTCTCCGAGTTACCTTCTCTATTTAGGGCAATTGTCATCGCCCAATAGTAAATTATTTCATGAATATTTTAAAGGAGAAGGGACATGATTTTTATTTTGCAGTCTGGAATAATTACGCTGCAGAAGTTGTAAATTATGACTTTTGGCTGTTAAAGTGATCGTCATTGGTTCTGAAAATAAGATCAATAGTTATGATTCCATTATGGTTTCTCTCTTGCTGATGAGTCCATTTCCTGAGAAATTGCAAAAACCCCCGACGCCATTAACAAAAGAATATCTTCAGTTGCCAATTGGAAGTGTTGATTACACTGAAGAACAGCCTAATAAGTGACTGACAAATGTAAGAAGAAAATTAAAGCAATACGTATCATTCTTTTCGAGCCATGTTTTTTTAAACCAAACAAAGATCGTAGCAACAATGGAGACATTTCGGCTATTTCTTCGACGTTTTGTCCTGTGATTCGCAGTATAAACCATATGACAAAACGTTGCACATTATCACTTGATAAAGGTTCTGTTATATAATCGAAAACTTGTGTATGCTAATACGTTTTCTCGCTTGAAAACCTCGTCTACTTTAAATATTACTTCTTGCAAATTGTATTGTTTTGTCTACTAACATAGCCGCCTTGTCACGTGTTGCAACTAACAATACTCGTTTACTCCTTTACATTTTAATCAACTATGCGGCTTCAAAATGCACCTTTCACTGCTTGCAAGACTTCACATCCTTCAGACTAATGATGTCTACGGTCAACTATGGACAGAATAGTGCTTAGCTCCTTAAAATTGCCAAATTCAACCAAAGCAGGTAGTAAGATGTATTTCCCTATTGAGTATTGAAGTGTCAGCATGCTGTTGCGAGGTTATTGGGCCGGAGAATTCTATTTATGATATATTTTTTTTCCTTTACTTGTAACCATGCGAACTTTTAGTCTATTTCCGCAGATACCTCATTCCGTTTCATTCTGTCTTGTACATCACAGTCAGTAATACTGTTTTGTTTGCCTCGATGCTTGCATTAAAGTTTGAAGCGCAAGAACCCGGCGGCCCGTCCGGGCCGCGTGTTACTAAACACAGTAACGCAGTAACGAGTAACGGAGTAACAAGAAAACGAGTAACGGGATAAATATCCAAGAGGTTAAAAAAATAAATAAATAAATCCCAATGATAGAAAAAACATAAAAATGGTTGTAATATTCCAATAATGACCTTTACCAATCTCGAAAAATATGTGCATTCCAAAAAGTGCTTAAAACAACGACGTCAACCCCCTTACCCCTCCCTCTAGCAAAGTCAAGGGTCAGGAGCCTGCGAAGGTATTTTCGCGCCGAAAAAGTCACCTGGCCACGGCTGTATAAAAGGTTTGAATGGGTTATTTTCTCACAGCCCCGAGGGGACCGAGGAGCAACAATGGAGGAAGGTGAGGTACAGATTTTCTTTCTTATTGCCACAATTATTTCATTTCTTAGTAGAAATAGTATATAGCTCTGCCAGGTAAATCAAAATAATAGAACTTTGTTGGGCCCTCATTACCGTTATCAACTAACCAAGTACTCGATTGCCAACTTGAAGGCTTAGAAACAGTTTGCTCGCTTATTACCCCCGGGGTTATTAACTTTCCTGTTCAACTTTCAATGTCTTTTAACTCCTCTCGCAAATACGGGATTCGACTTAATACTACCTTCCAAAAGTTAATTATAGTGAACGTTTCTACCGGTTTAAAAGGATTTATAAATCGTGTTTAAAAATAACCTCCCGATGTAAAGACTCTTAAATTTGAATATTGGCGGCAAAATAGGATTGCAGAGCGATACTAGTTTTTAGATCGATTTTCAGTTAAAGTAAATTAAAGAAAAGAAACATTCAAATGGATTGGTTTGCTCGAGGTTGCGTTTAACAATCAATGCAGAATAACCGAAACATAGTTACTGTTTGGGCATGAAATTAACTCTTTTTTTTTGTAGGATCTAGTTGGCTACTTGATATTTCAAAGTGGTAGCCAATTCCATTAAGTCGAATAAGTCCTGCGTCTCCAGAAAAAAAACTGAATATAAACGAAACAAAACAAGAAGAAACAACAAACAAGGAGAAAACGGCCGGTTTACTAGATGTTATTTTAGAACTGAGATCCTCCAAATTGACAAGTCTTGAACCCAAATGATTCTAGCAGGTAATCAAAGTAAGCAAAGAGGACCACTACATATCTACTTGGGAAACCAAGATGGTGTTCGCCAGCGACAGAGTTTCCTAGTGACATATGTGCCATCAGTTTTGCATGATCGTCACAGCCATTAGTGCCTGTATTAGCTGCAATTTCACTTCCTGATAACATGCAATTACATGAACTCATTTTGACCCTCTATAGCCCAATTTGACCCTCTATAGCCCATTCTTAATGGCTCAAAGGCAGCTACGCCCCTGTAAGCGCTGAATTCTGTCAGGGACTTTTCCTCTTCTAGTCACGCTTGCGGCAGACTTTAAAAAAATATTGGTGTGTTATATGAAACGCCTGAGCTAAGATAACAACAACTAATAGCATTTTGAAATCGTAGAAGAGCCCTTGTTCCCACTTCTGTCTTCTTCCACTTATGGTCCCTTCGGGAAAGGAATAATCGTGTCTTCTAAACTTGCTTTGACGATCAATCTCTTATATTAAGACCTACTAGGGGCTAAAGTGGCACTTGCAGACGCTTTTTACCATCGTGCGACTACGAAAAGGGACCTGCATTTGGTAAAAGAAGTACATTCCCTAATCTTCTTACAAAATTTAATTAATCCATCAGTTATCACAATCGTTTCACGCTGAAACCTTGAAACTTAGGGTAATCCCATATCTTGTTTAAAAAAGAATGCGTCACAAAACAAACTTTCTGTTTCTTTTCTTCATGATCTCAATAAGCACAACGTATACCGCGGGATCAAACTAACAATACGGAAATCAATTTTATTGATGCAGATGTCGATGTTGGTACTAATGCTATTACCCGGGTACTAATCAAGGACAGTGACGTAAGGCCAGTATATATACAGTTTTGTTGAGTTGTACTATACATATTCAGTGATTTGTGACAATTGTTCAGAAACTCGGCAGTTTGAAAATAGCCGGTCTTCCTGATCCTGGGCTGTAGGAAATAACCTTTTAAGATGAACGATAAACGGAACGTTTTGTTACTCTATCTGCTGGATAAGCATATTCAATTGCAAATAACAGCCGTAGCCAGGTGACGTTTTCGGCGCAAAATTCCTTCGACTTCGCTGGAGGGATTGGTAGGGGGCTTGACGTCGTTGTTTGAAGCATTTTTTGGAATACGCATATTTTTCGAAGTTAAGTCGGACATGAATATGAGTAAACTCAGTCTCACAAGCACATGCAGAAGTACGAAGCTAAGCTTACCTCCAGACAGTTTCTCGCCAACTGATGACACAAAAGAAGCTGCTTGTGCTGAAATAATAATAAAAAAAAGAATTAAGCCACACAAAATAATGTTGTAATCAATTCTGGGACTAAGCACGGCCAGAAATATAGGCCGCTACGGTGAGACATGTAGAATTACCTTTGCGTTTTTTAAACTTGTTTTCACGACTTCGTCGTTTTTCGAATTCTTCTACTTCCTTAAGCAGATCACTTTTCTCCGTCTGGGTCAAAATCTCCTTCAGAGTGTCGAGGCAGTCGATTCCCAGCCAGTCGTTGCTTTCTAGCTCCTTAAACAATGATCGCACATCTTGAACGTTGCCTTGTCTGTCTTCTGTAATCTTTTCTCCGCAAATCGAGACGAGTCGTTCCAGATCATTGAGCTCGTCGAGCACTCGAATACTTTGCTCAAGCAAGTTGTTGTATTCCTTTCTCTTTGTTTCAAACTTTTCAACTTCATCAAAGAGAGCCCATTCGTTGACTTCTTTCAACATGCCTTTTAATAAACCCAGATGACTGGGACTCAGAAATCCTTTCTGTTCTAATTCCTCAAACAACGAGAAGGTTTGAAAGTCCTCGCCGCTGCGAGCTGCCACCTTTCTTCTCAGCATAACAAGTAACTGTTCGCCCACATTCAGCTCATCAAATTTCTTGCTTATCTGATAGAGTAAGTTGTTGTATTCCAACTCTGACATTGTGACGACGGATTAAGTTCACTCTTGTTTCTAAATTTACATTTGATGCCAACCCGAGCTAGGAAATCACAGAAGGGTGGATGTTATGTTCGATTGTGTATGAAGCGTTAGTCACCCGATCTTAGAATTCGTTTCCAGGGTCACTTTCTCGTTCATCCTGGAAACGAGGCTCTTGGGCAATGGAGGGCACTTAACAAAATTTTATACGGGGAGGCTCCGGCTAGAGGTCCAACCCCTAAAACTGCTGTAAATGCGCTCTGTCTTTAAAAAAGGAGTCTATTAACCAGTTAAATTGGGTAATCTGATAATTTTCAGCCGTATATCTCAAAAGAGAATGTATGAGAAAAACAACTGTTACCACCCAGTCACGCTTGCATGGTTTTCCATACAAATCCTTTTAAATTTCGAAATTTTTAAACCGTCGGTAAATCTTTCCCTTACGCATTTAAGGGCTCAAATTGGCTGTTATGAATTAAAAAGGAGATTTGAGCCTTGAAATGCTTAAGGAAATATTTCATGACAGTTTTGAAAATTTTGAATTTACAAGGATTTGTATGGAAAACTATACAAGCGTGACTGGATGGCAAAAGTAGCCTGGGACCAGGCTCCGCATTGGGGGGACCAGAGGTTTATTTACCCCTTTTTTTGCCTGTTTGCCCCACTCCGAAGCCTGGTCCCAGGCAATGGCAAAAGTTGCTTTTCTCATTTAAATGCTTCTAACTTTCGGCCGCCGTTGCAATCGGTACTTCACATACGGCTGAAAATTCTCAGGTTACCTAATTTTAATATGCTCTTTCAGGCTGTGCTAACAAAATTGTACTGTTTTCGTGTTTACCGAAAGTTGATCACGTGATGAAGTCAATCAAAGCGCATATTGAAGGGCCTTTGGTAGACGACGGTATGGAAGTCAGCCGCAGGAAACTGGGCACCATGGTACGGCAGACCGCTATCAATAAATGCCTTGCTTCGTTCGTTTAGCTTAGCCTGCGTTACAGCCGGCCCACGCACTCGTCTGAACTATTTGTATAGAAGGTTTATAGCGTCTTCGACGAATGCAACGTTTAGGATCAATGAAGTAGGCAGACAACTGTGGTCCTTGAAGTTAAACATCAGCAGAGAACTTTATTTAATGTGTTCAATGGTTTCTTTCAAACTTCTATAAGGCGTGCCTTGTGGTTGTTGTTGGTTCTATTTGCCCATGATAAGAGCTTGTTTGACGTATGGAGATAGTGGAGCACGATAGATAGGTGACTGACAATGAAAACATTGTGGTTGTCGTGGTCCGAGGTCCTACGTGGTCTTGCTTGATCCAACAAGATCAGGAAAAAGCATCTTCAACTCACTACAGGTATTGATAATTCATGAAGATAGCGAAGAAAATCACCACCTAGAAGGAGGCTCAGAAGTTCGACCCTTGTTACCCTCCGTCCCACGCATTTTACCCCCACTTTCCTATTTTTCTCGCGTCCAGCTCTCACTTTTGGTATGGTGTTCATCTTTTCACATTCCGTGTTCAAAATTATATTTAGGTATTCTCCGCCTCAAGTTTGTCGTAAACTTAAGATTCAAGATATTGTGAAGAAATATCGCCATGAACGATCTGTCAGCGATTTTTATGTGTCGCTTTTTTTTTTTTACCAATGATGCGAACTAAAATATACCTGGATTTATGAAAACCGGGTTAGCAAAAATTTTGTAATTTTTCTCAACTTCCCCTGTCTAACAGCTTGTTTACTGTGTTGTTTGCTTATATCGTGCTTTTTTTTTTTTGCTTGTTTTGTGGTTAGGGATTTGTGTAGAAGTGGATGTAGACAGAATTGCTATCTTAGCCCCCCCTCCCTCCCTATTTTTGCCCTAGCCACAATTCTTTGTTTAACACAAATGATAGTTATTTGAAATCAGTGCGCGCTTAAAGCGGTGTGCGACAAACGCAGACTGCAGACCTGCAGACTTCCCAGACTCGATAAACTGGCACACTCGGAGATTTGCAGACCTACATTTTTTGTGACTTCAACAGGTCATGTGAGTTCTTGTCTTCATGCGTTCCAGAAGCCAGGTCAGTCTTCGATCTCCCGCCTTAATGGATGAATGTGAGCAGGTTTCTACCTTGTGGATTACATAGAAGTAATTGTCTTACGATGACGAGTTCTTCGCGACAATATAATATACCAAATACCAAATATTGGTCAATTACCCCCCTCCCCCCGTGAGTTGCGAACGTGTCTGTAAGTCTGCAGGTCTGCAGGTCTGTGGTCTGCAAGTCTGCAGTCTGCGTTTGTCGTACACCGCGCCTAAAGCTGGTTTCGGTGCCGTTTAGCAGTTTAGTTTTAGATATGGTCACCTTGAGAAAAGTTTCCCGGAGAGCATCATGTATATGGTCGGCCATTTGTTTCAAAATTATGACACGATATACCTACGGTTTTTTCCCACGAATACTTGCAACCATTCCTGCTACACGATATACGTGCGTTTTTTGCCTAGTATACTTTCATTCTTTCTTGCTTTGTGGGGTTTTTATTCCCAAGTATATGACCATTTTCTTGCAAACGCGCATATATATGCGCACAAAAAAGTTGATATATATGCGTTACAAACAAGCATGTGTATATGGGGTCAAAGAAAGTCGTCTTATAAGAGGCACCGAATTATACTGCCAGCAAAAAACTCCTTCATGTACGATGGAGCTGCAAAGTAACTTCAGTTTGAATCAAGCATGGCTGCAATGGCCGCGTTAATTTCGAGCAAGGTTTGGTTCTTATTCTATGCCCTCACAGTAGTGGTGGTTGTTGGCCCCCCGACAACGGATTTGTTGGAATCCGTGGATTCTCTTGAGAGACTGTGTACGCTATTTCACGTATGCTGACCGAAACAACGATCGATTCAGTTAGAAACAAGAATCGCCGAAAGGCGATTTTTAACTGGGCTGCCAAAGGGGCTATTTTTTCTGAGGGGAGGGGGCGACTATACACACTCAGACTACCACAAAACCTTGTTGCCGACCATTGCATGGGACAGAATCGCATGTGAGACTGAAACATAAACTCATTCAGAACATTGTACCCTTTTGAAGACTTTCGTAACCAAAAAAAAGAGTACCATTTTTAAGTGGGGGCTGTATAATAACTTTTAAATTCCGCCATTATGAATAAAAATAAACAAGTCAGCCATTAATTCTAAGCAGGAAACGATTGCATTATTTCGCGCACCCCTCCCCCAATCCCTCTGTGTCCCAAAATATAGCGTGACAGTATAACGTGACCAATTTGACGTAACTGGAAATTCCAAAAATTGTTGTCGTTCTACGAGCATAAAGTGCGACGGACGGAGCTGATTTACACTAGACAAAAATATTGTATTGTATGAAAACCTGGCCCCAAATGTTCAAACGTTGGATAGCGCTATCCACCGGCCGGATAAATCACTATCCAGCGGACAGCGCAATTGGTTTCCCTAATACTTATCCGCTGGATAGTGATTTATCCGCTGGATAACGCTACCCAACGTTTGAACAACTGGGGCCAGAAGTATACTAAAACAGACAGCCAACTGCTAGGCTTTTGTACATTATGCTTTTGCTTCCCCACTAAAATGCTCCACCTTAATGCTCTATTTTTCCCACTAAAATGCTCGGTCTCCCCAAAAAAGTCACTAAAATGCTCGGATAATGCTCATTATACAAACGGTTTTTTAAATTAATTTCAAAGTTTACACTTACAAAGACGTGCAAGTGTTGCAAGTAACAACGATAACGTGTACAAGTTCATAAATACAGCCAAAAAAAACAGCTGTATGAGGTTTTTTGTGAATTTTGAGTTTTAGTCTTCATTTTGTTTAAAAAAAGCTGGAGCTCATGGGGCATGGGCTCCTGAAAAAGTTAATTTCTATTTCATTTTCTCGAAAAAAATTAATTTTCCGGGGAAAATGCCACTAAAATGCTCGAATAATGCTCAATGCTTTTGCCTCACTAAAATGCTCGAAAAAATGCTAGAATAATGTACAAAAGCCTACCAACTGCCCATTGATTTCGCCTGATCAAGGGGCCTCTGACTGCACTGAGACTTTGCTGCGCTTTTCACAAACATGCGAACTCTACACAAAGCCACCTTCACAATCGTGTTTTTCGCTGCCGTCAAACATAATTACGATCACAAGCGACGAACCTTGAAACAGAGAAACACAAAACGGATCGAAATCCACAAATCACAAACCATGATCTTTTGAACCCGTGAAGTAAAGTTTTGTTTCCTAAGAGGTCCGTTAAGATAAGATGATTGACAGCAGCGAAAAACGCAATCGTCAGTTCAGTTTTAAGATTTTCCTCTTGGTATTTTTCTCTTACTTAAAGGAATAAAATCGGATGTTACTAAAACGTGGAACGGGGAACGGGGAACGAGGAACGGGAACGGGGAACGGAAGTCTGGGAACGAGTTGTCAGCGAAAACCTCCAAAAAAATCCAATATGGCCGATGATCGATGATAGAGAACCGTCGAAACAAACTTAACCGATAACGGCGTTATTTTACTTGAACTATATGCTCATGAGGTGCTTGAAATAATACGGAGGTAATAACTTCATGACGTTTTTCACCTTTTTGCGTTTTACTAAACAATTATCCGTAGGAAACAAAATATGCTCCAACAGCAGTTGAAAGAAGCCAATCGGGACAAAAAGTCTCAAAGCACATGTACAGCCATATTTGGAACTCAAGCGAATCTATACTGAGTCTAGCCCACAAAGCAATGAACTACTTTTCCATGATAGATAACATACATCGAAGTAGTCAACTAGCTTGTGTGCAGACTTCTTCTATTTCCTTTGATAGAGATGACTGCTTTGAAAAATGTTATTGACCACGTCATCACATAATTAGTAAGACTACTTTAACAATCTGGTTCTGCTTTTAATATCATTAGATCCACTACACCGCAAGCATTCACGATATTGAAGTGTTTCACTGATCCATGAAAATAAAATAATATCATTTTATTATTTTGTGAAA